ACCTCCGCCAGTGCCACCGCGAAGCCAGCGCCGGCGGAGCGACAAGTAGCGCGCCCATCCGTCCGTCATCGCTTGCTCGAGCTGCAGGCCCGCGACGTTCGCCTGGTAAGCTGCACGTTGCTGCAGCTCCTCCATTGAGGAAGGGAGGGACACGAGCCACCTGTTCACAGCTAGAGGTGTGAAGAGACGCTGCTCACAGCTGTCGTCGGGCTCGTACCCCTCCACACCCCGCCGCCGCCGGCACATACTCGTCCCTCGCTCGCCGCCCTTGCGCCTATCAGAATGCGGCGGGCGTGTCAGGGGCGCATGTCAGACTCCGTGCTCGTGCCCTCGTCCTGCCCGAGCGCCGCGAGCCGCACCAGCGCCGCCAGGAGTAACAGCCGCGCCCGCTGGGCAAAGGCGAGGCTGACGACGAAGCAAGCCTCCACACAAGCGAGCGCCGACCCCGCCGCAAGGAGGAAGGAGAGGAGCGCCGCACCGCACGACAGCGCGGCGAGGTGGCGCCTCTCTGCTGCCTCAGCAGCGGCGGGTCCCGTTGCTGTGACGGCGGCGGGGTTGGACGGGGACGGTCGGGCGGCGTGCGAGGTCGCGGAGGCATCCTCGGGGGAGGAGAGGTGGTCTGCGGAGGTGGCTGCTCGTCCTGTCGCTGCCGGCTGCTCGCCCGTGCTGCCTACGCCTTCTCTTTCCATCGCGGCTGCTCCTCTCCGACCATGCCGAGCGACGGGCGGTGGCGCCGCGCCATTGCGGCCGAGCCGGCGGTGGGCGGCGGCCGCGGTGAGCTCCACCACCGTGCCGCCGCTGACCGCCGCCATCGCCGCCCCGAGTGCCGTGAGCCGCGCCGCACCCCAGCCCTCGCGCACGGCGGAGGCTGCGTGGACGGCCGCCTCGTCGATGCGGATGAGGCGCCTCGGGTCGGGGTCGCGCCTCGCAAAGGCCAGCGCGAGTCGCGCCGTTCCGTAAGCCAGCGCTGCCTCGCGCGCTCGACGCGCCGGCGGGTAGGCCGCTGCAAGGCAAGCCGCACCGCCCGCAGCCAGGATCGTGCTGCTCGCGTTTCCGGCGAGGCTGGCCGCCCTGCCCCTCGCCGCTGCCGCCGCGCGCGGGCGATGGGCCGTTATCGCTGTGACGAGCGCAGCACGAGCGTTGGTGTGGTCTGCACTGCCGCTGACTAGCGCCGACTGCGGCGCGGGCTCTGCCACACTGCACACTGCAGCTTTCGCGCGAGGTGCGATGGGAGCCGGCCCGAGGCGGGGCTGGCAGGCTGCCAGGGAGAGTATCATCTGGGGTCGCCCAGGCGCGACGCTCCGTCCCTTGGGCCGCCCCGGCACGGGTGAACTTTTCATGCACGTCCCCATACACCATCTCCACTCTCATCAGAGCCCACTCACATCAAGAGCTCGAACCCTTCCCGCCCGCTCACCGCATCGTGAATCGCTTTCCTTCCCTCATCGCCCAAACTGTTGTAGCTGAGGTCGATGTTTTTCAGCACCCCGCTGCCCGACACGTACTCGGCGATCTCTGCGGCGCCAGTTGGGCCGATGCTGCAGCGACTCAAGCCCAGCGAGGTGAGTTTGTTGCGCTGCCGCTCGACGCGCACGATGCCGAGGGCCGCCTCCTCGGTCAAGCTGTTGTAGCTCACGTCCAAGGAGGTCAATACCGCGTTGCCCTGCAGCGCCTCGGCGATCGCGGTCGCGCCCTCGTCGCGGATGAAGTTGTTCTGGAGGTTTAGGCTGGTCAAGACCCCATTGACGCGCAGAGCGGAGGCCAGCGCCTTGGCGCCCTCGCCGCCGATATAGTTCGCGCCGAGCTGCAACTCGGTCAATACCCCGTTGCCGCGCAGCGCTTCCGCGATCGCAGCGGCGCCCTGGTCGCGGATCTGGTTGTTGGCGAGGTTGAGGGTGGTCAGCACCCCGTTGACTGCGAGAGCGCCGCCGATCGCCTTCGCGCCCTCGTCGCCGATCTCGTTTTCGCCGAGGTCGAGGTTTTTCAGCACCCCGTTGACGCGCAGAGCGGAGGCCAGCGCCCTGGCGCCCTCGCCGCCGATCTCGTTCGCGCCCAGCCGCAACTC